GGAGGGCCGGGGGTGGAGGGGAGCGAAAAGCGAAAGTTAGCGAAAAGTTGACGAAAGGGGAAAGCAACTTTTCCTCTCGCTCGCTCTCTCCCTCTCTCTCTCCCCGAGTGGCTCTCAGTCCTGGTCAAATCATATTCCGGGCTTTTGAAATAGTGGGCGCTAGAGCACCGCCTTTGGCGTCCGCCAGCCGGGCTCAGAGGAGGGAGACCCCGAGCCGGGGAGGGGGCGGAGGAGGGGGCGCAGGGCCGGCGCCCACCCGGCTCCCCGGGAGTCAGGGCAGGGCTGGCGAAGGCAGGACGGCCGCAGCCGCTGGGGGAGCAACATGGTGACTTTTTCTGCGCTTGGAACTTGTGGTCTTGAAGTTTATTCCCAAGTGGCGCGGCGCGTGGTGGCGGGCGCTCCTCGGTGACTCCCGCAGCTCTCGCGGGGCGCCCGGCACGGGCGACTCGGGCAGCATGGTCTCCTTCGGCCGCCTTCCGACCCTCGGACTCTCCAGCATACGCTCGCCTGGCACCGGCGAGGCCCAGAGGGACGAACTGCCCCGGAGAGACTTCCACGGGCCCGGGTCTTACTTTCTCTTTCGCTCCGCCTCGGGACGGGCCGAGCCCTGGGCTCTGCGCACAGCCTCGCCGCCGGCCGGTCCCCACCGCGGGCCCGGAGCTCCCACCGTCTGCTCCACCGCCAGCCGCCACCGCCGGGTCTCGGAGCCGCCCGTGAGCTCTGCTCTGCGGGCTCCGGGGCCATCCGCTGCGCGGCGGGCCGGGGGCTGCGGCCCTGCAGCCGGCAGGTGGGGACGGACTGCGCCGCGGCGCGTGGAGAATGGGGCTCGGGCGGCCCTGGCCCGGCTACAGCGAAGCGGCGAGCGCTGTGCGCGGCGACCTGGGTAACTTACTCCCGCGGGCCCCTCCTGTGCCGCCCATCCCGGAGCGGGGCGCCCGGCCCTCAGGCTCCAGGTCCCTGCCTGACCACCAGGCGGTTGTATCCGCGCCTCCCCTGCCTGATACTGCCCGGCCCGGCCTGGCCTCGAGGCACCCAGAGCCGAATTCTCAAGCCTGAGCCTGGTGGGAACGGGATTCGCGAGTTTTTTTTTTTTTTTTTTTTTTTTTTTTCTTTTCTTTTCGATAACGCTCGGTGCTTTCAGCTCGGTACCCTGCCGAACTCACCAGAAGCCTTAGGCGGCGCGCCCAGCCTGCAGGGAAAAGCAGCTCCATCCGCTGCCAGGCGCCCCTGCGCTCCGCCATGAGCAGTCTGTGGCCCCTCGGCGAGGTGCCCCATTTCCAGCCCAGCTTCCCCCGGACCAGCTGCCCTTGGCTTAGGCCTTCGGAGCCATCCGTGACCTCTGACCCCTCTTGGTGCGAAAGGGGCCAGTGGTTTCCCAGCGAACTCGAAGGGACTGAGTGTGTACTGCGTGTCTGCCCCACAGCGCATGGAATCGGGTGTGCTGCGTACTGTCAGGGTCTGTGTGTACGGTGGGCCTTGCCGGCTGGACACCCAAAGCTGGAGGGAGGAAGAGTCAAATGGCTGCGCTCCTATTGCTGCGGCCTTCGTTGCAAGCGAGAGACTGGCTCAGCGCACCCTCGCGGCCCCAGAAACTTCCCAGAGGCCCACACCGCCCGGCGCCCCGCTGGGCCTCTGCTCTAGGCCTGCTTCACCTCCACCAGGTGGGAAAGGTGGCCCGGACCAGGCTTCGCTCAGTACCGGAACAAGGCGTTCCTGGCAGCAGTCCTGCGGCCTGTCCAGGAGGCCTAGAACCCGGGAGGACCCACGGGTGGGAGTGCCCAGTGCAGGCTTCTCTTTCCAGGGTGTCCTTAAATACAGCCTACGGAAGCCCGACAGAGAGGCCCAGACTCCCTGCTTGGGTGTCACTCTGGGACGCGGTTCCAGGCCTGTATAACTGTTATTGTTACCCCCATACCCTCCTCAAGAAGGTCGGGATGGATATCACAGGGTCCGCTGAGGAATTTCATATGCTGGATCATATTGTAAGCCAGTGTGGAAGTCTCCTGGGACTCAGTTATCTGAAGAAGGAGCAGCCAGCCTCCAGCCTCCTCCCCTCCGCAGCCGGCAGGATCAGAGGACAGGAGAGGGAGCAAGGTCATGGCTGTTCAGGGCTTTCCACTACCCTTGCACTTGAGCTGTGCTTGAAACTGTGCTGGAGGCAGAAGGACCAGGAGCTTGGTGGTGCCGGCCCCTGAGGGTGCATTTTGGGGTGTAATTTCGTTTGTATTTCCTAGGGACCCTATTCCAGACCCAAGTCATTTCTAGTGGGTTACTTCAGTTGGGCTTTTGATGTGTCCCCCTTTGTAGTATTTAGGGGCCCACAGTAGAGGCTTATGTCTAGCTAAGGATAGAGATCTTTGAGGCACTCCCACTGAGGACTGTGGTTCAACTGGTGGGAAACCTAAGCCTGGGCCGTAGGCAGGGTGAAGACAATCATGGCCTGGGCCTCCTTTCTCAACCTGGGCCTCTGCTGGCCAGTAAGGACACAGGGCTGTCCTGGCCCTACATTTTAAAACGAAATTCTTAACAATAGCTTAGTGTTCCTGCCTTTGCTGTGATCCAGGTGGGCAGGAGGTGACTTAGCCTGGTCCTGGTACTTTTCTGACCCTCACCCTACATAGCATAGCTGGAGGCCTCTTAGACTCCACAGCTAGGGCCCCCACCAGAGCCACACTTAAATGCCTGCTTTCTACAGAGGTTGACAGACCCCATTGGTTCTGGACCCCATACTGTTAGGTGTGGGACTTTGTATGAGGGTTGCATTTATTGGGGGTGATGTTTTGCTAAAGATATGTGTGCAGCAGAGTGGGAGTGATGGGCTAGAGGCCCAGCTCACAGCCTGGGTCCTCTTCCCATCCAGACAAGCCAGGCCCAGGTTGGCTGGGTCTTGCCCTTCACCACCCTCCCCAAAGAAGCCAGAGCCCAGAGGACAACCTTTCCTCTGGGCAGAGATGAGGGCAGAAGCGACGAGGAAGGGAACCGGTGGGCTGGAGCGGATTGCCTTGCCCGCTTTAGGCGAATAGTAAAGTGCTCCAGTGGAAGAGGGCGGGCTGCGGGGCTGGCCGCCAATATCCTGCGGCTTTGTGATCGGTGCCACAGGCCTTGCCTCTGCCACCACTGGCTGGTGTTTGAAGGAGAAGAGGACTGGTGTGTATGGGGTGCTTGCCCAGGTCAGTTTGCAGAGCAAGCACACTTGGAAAGATGTCCCTTCGGCTGGCTTGGTCTGCTTTCTTCTCCAGGCCGGGGAAGAACAGGTGCAGACCCGGCCCCCTAGTCCCTCCTGGTCTCCTGGGCAGTGCTGGGAGTAGGGAACTAAGTCTTCTGTTTCTGTCCAGAGGCTGGGTAACAGTGGTGTGGGCTCCCCACGGCCCCTGAAGGAGGCACTCTGGTGATGACTGCTTACAGGGCTACTGTGGGCATGATTAGCCCCCTGTTTTATTCAATTAAGAGGCAATTAGGGATCCTTGGGGGGAGCTGGTATTAGTAATTAAGGTGATGTATAATTAGAGTTTCAACAAAAATTATCCAGGATTTAAAATCTTTTGAGTGATTTCATTTAAAAATTTCAAATAGCGTTAAATACAATTTATCAGGTTTGAGTCAAATCCCAGTACCACATCTTGGATGCTGCAGCTCGCCTAGAAGTAGGCACCAGAGGATCAAGAGGAAAGGGCTGGAGCCTTCCAGCTCTGGAAAGAACTTCCTGAGGTGGAGGGAGCCTCTCTGTTTGCATCGGGGGCTGGGAGTGCAGATTCCAGCAGTCTGGGAGCCCCCAAACTGCTTGTCTGCTGTGACACCGGCCCAGGGAGCCCTTCCTGCTTACAAAGTCACAGCCAGCTAAGGAGCCAGCAGTGTACCCGAGTTTACACCTCATCTCACCAATGCTAAGCAGCACCTTTGCCCTTGGGGATTGCCTCCCAGCTTCCCAAGTTCCCTTGGAACTCCCAGACCTCTTTATGGGGAGCACAGAGATCCTTAGTGCAAATCCCCCAACTACAGTGTCTCCTTCACTGTCCCGCGGTCGGTCGATCAACCTGTGTGTGCTTCAGAATGCAGATGTGCCAGCCCAGACGATCTGAACTGGTGGTGGAGATGGGGAGAACGATGGGGAAACTGAGGTGGAAGGTAGGAGTCAGGCTTTTCAAGGTGCATCAGCTCCCACCGTCCTGAGAGCTAACCGAGTCAATCCCAAATCTCTGGAGTTTTAGGCTGCAGTGCAAGTTGCCCTGCCCCTGTTCCTATATGGAAACAGCCCGTTGGGTGCCTGTGGAAGCCCTCAGGGTCCTCCTGCTAGGCGTGACCCTGTGTCCCCTTTACTAACCCTGGGAAGGAGGGAGTGTAGAACGGGAAAAGGCCTCTAGAGGTAAGCAACTCCAGAGAGGCGCAGTAGCTCATGCCTGCGAGGCAAAGCCTAAGACTGTCAAGGTCTCCCTGTGTGACCAGCAACTACAGTTAATCCTATAGGTTTTTTTTTTTTTTTTTTTTTTTTTAATGTGTTGCAGTTGGTTAAGACAGTTCAAGGCCAATCTTGACCATAGTCTTCTTTTTAAAAGACAAGTAGGTGTCATACAGGATAGCCCGTGAAGGCAGCCATCAGACTGTCTCACTGTCACCAGCAGATCATATTTATTTGCTGAGGGTTGGACTGTCCACTCCAAGGATTGATTGCCTTGGATGTGGGTGCCTTCACCCA